CCCCAACAGCTGGCTGCCGTCTCTCGGTGTGTTTTGGGGCGGGTGCGCGTGAATCGAGCCTGGAAGAGCAGCAGGGAGAAACAGCTTGAGGTCTGGATAAACAGACGCCGGGTTATTTGTGTAAAGACGGGACTCGCGCGCCTTTAGAAGCAAAAGAGGTCTTCCCAGGCTCCCAGCAATCGCGGAGGGACGGGCTCCGACGAAAGCGGCTTCTTGTTGTCTTGCCAATCGTGGATACAACGAGACAGGGCGTTTTGTGGTTATTGTTGTTGAAATCCACGGAGGATTTCAGAGTTTGGTCCTCTAGAGGTTACCATAGTTGTCCTGTGAGGGAGAGTAGTTGCGTTGGCGTGATTATCACATTTACTATCACAAACATTTTTAAAAAAACACCAAATGCCTATTGATGCCACTTTATACATTCAGTTATTTTATTAGTATTTCTTATTATAATGAATTTGAACATAATTGCTTGCGGCAAATCCAAGGCGTTACCAAAACTACGTTTTCATTTAATCGTAATAATATTATTTAGAATTTTATATCCTGTACTTCTTCCTACTGGAAAGCATGTTGAGTGTCTCTACAAAGCATTAATAGAAATCACAATATCGAAATGTTTGGCTTACTTACAAGAATTATAATTTGGCGAGTGACATAGAAGAACGGATTTCGTTCGTTGGGTTTGTGCAGTTTTTTTAGCCGTAATGCCATAGTATGGAAAGTGGGCACCTTGCGGGTTTATAATATATTCGTTACGCCCTCCTAAATGACTCTTTTGCGGAAACGATCTTGATGTTTTTATTCTGCGAAACACACTTTTCTATTCGGCGAACGACACTTTTAACATTTGATTACCGGAACGTTGACATACAGGGTCGCGTCTCTCATGAGGCTTCTTAAAAATTATCAGGTTTTTTCCCTGACAACACTACCTATGGTTGTTTGAGGGACCACAGATTTTGCTAACACAGCGCAAGAATGTATGATTACGGGAATAAGAACTGGACACCGATTCTGGGAGAAGGAAATCCAGGCTGGCCCCGTAGCCGGGAATCCCCCACTTAATCATGGGGAGGGGGGCGAGTCCGTTTTCTAATAATTATCTCTCAGTTCCACAGTCCTTTCTTGTTGCTCAGACCCTTGACCTGAAAAGACAACGTTCACCAAGCTCTTGGAGCAGGATTTCGTTTTTGCAACGCTGTCGAAAGGGGAAAGGCATTCGCCTGCTCTTCTCTGTCCTAACGATCTTCTCCAAGAGGCCGAGATGAGGCCCCGCTTCGATGCGCTTTTGGCGGCCGAGATGACGGCAGCCACAAGGCAGGGAGAGTCCCGCGCTGAAAACCCGTGATTCTGGTCGCCGTCATCGACCGGGTTCCCTACTTGGGTTCTCTTGTTTTTAAATACCCACGGAGAAGATGAATCGACGGGCAGATGGTTCTTTCTCGGGTCTTTCCGAAGAGGCGAAGGAAGGATCCTTGCCCGCTCCCGCCCGCTTGTCCAAAAACGTCCTTGGTCACCAGCTGTACGGGAGCTTTTTCCGCGGCAGGAGTTGAAGGGGAAGCTGGTCCCGATCCGTAGCGGCTCGCTTACGCCGGGGCCCCGGTTGAGGATCGATCCGAGGGCGTGGAGATGAGCACCAATCCGCTCCCCCTACCCTCGGCCGCCACAGCCGCCTCCCGCCTCTGTGGGTCTCCTTCCCGCCCGCCGCCTTCAGGGACGCGTGGCCGGCAAAGCCGTGCCGCCAGACGGGCCAGCGCTCCCCCTCGGAAACCGCTCCCCTTCGGGAGGAAAGCAGCCACGGCTGAAGAGGCCGCCTAGACGAAGAAGCCCGGTGTCCCGGCCCGGTCCCTTCTTGGGGGGGGGCAGCGGAGCAGCACCCACTCCTCCGTCGCTCCCGGTGGCAGCCATTCTCTCCCCCCCCGCTCCTCCTCCTCCACGCCGTCGCAGGCGAGCGG